CGGGCTGGGCCAGCTGGTGGGGGTAGGGTGGGGGTGGGCGGCTCACTGGATAATTCTTTTAAAAAGTCTTTATTGACCCAGTGTGTCCAGGCCATGGGTTTTAAGTGCAGAGCTTGATGGAGTTCTGCGTATGATGCATTTGTGTAACCACCGCTGGGATCCAGATATAGAACAGAGTAGAGCTCGGGCGGGGGAGGGGGTCCTCCCTCGTTCGCCTCTGCGCCCCACCCCCAGGAGCCACTGTTCTGACCATCCATTAGCTCGTGTGTCCTCGACCGTCACGTAAATGGAATCATGCAACAAGCACTCCGTGGTGTCTGGCGTCTTGGCTCGTTGTTAAGCCTGAGATCCTCCCAGTGGGTTCTGCAGGAAAGCGGGAAGCCCTTCCGAGAGAGGCTCTTCCACACGTGCCCTGAGCTTGCTCCTCCCCGACACAGTCCTCTGCCCGTCAAGGTGCCCCTGTCCTTGAATCGGGGTGGGCTGGTGACTGCTTTGACGATGGGGCAGCTGAGGAGTGACGCTGTGGGGCGTCCCAGGCTGAGACACGAAAGGTGGGGCAGCCTTGGCCCTGTTTGCTGGGACACTGGTGCTTGGAGCCCTGGGCATGAGGCAAGAGGTCTCACCGCCCCGAGGCTGCCGTGTTGTGATGTGAGGAAGCCACGCTGTGTGGGGAGGCCACACGAGGTGCTCCGTCCTTGGTCTGACTCTGAGCCTTCGCAGCCCAGGCACCGGCATGTGAATGAATCAGCCCCAGGAGACCCCAGCCCCTGGCTGTCAGGTCATCCTGGCCTGCAGGTCTTCCCAGGTGAGGCCCCAGGCATCACGGAACGGGGATAAGTCATCCCTTTACCAAGTGCCTGCTCCACACAATGCAGACACACGAGAAAATGGCTGTTTTAAGCTGCTGAGTTTGGGGTAATTTGTCAGCCCAGTGATCACTGGTACACAGGGTGCAGTGGCTGGACTCAGGAGGGCCAAGGTTAGCCTTCTCACTGGGTGAGACGGGGCGAGAACATCTGCTTTTGGGGGCCCACTGGCTGCTTCACAGCCCTGCCTACACCTCACCCTCTGCTTTTTGCTTCTCACCCGCTCTTTTTGGTTTTAGGCCAGTTGTTAATTAATTCTCTGCCTCCCCCTGCAAAAGCAAAAGGACGTGGTTCCTCCCCCACACCGTTGCCTCCCTGTGGAGACCCCAGAGGAGGGGACATGTGGGATATTCGAGGAGTCCCGTCAGCCTCTAGCAGGTGCAAGGAAACCGCACCGCACAGCCCCAGGCACTCAGTGCTCAAGAAATGTGTGTATCGAGAGGGTCATCAGTCCCCTGTCACCGCAGGTGTCCTCTCTGTGACCTCTGGGTGGGGACACCACTCAGGGAGCAGGACTTTGGCATCTGGCTCTTGGAACTCTTTTCTGAGGGCCCAGCTCCTGGCCAACTCTGACATTATGAAATGTCATCCTTCACCTATATGGGTGGAGTTCATAGTACAGCCCCTAAAATGACAGACCCAGCACAGTGGCCCTCCCACCTACCGGCTGTGTGACAATGGAGAAGTGGCCTGACCTCTCTGAGCCTCGGTCCCCAATTCTGTAAAAAGGGTATAATAGTAAATAGTCCTGGCTTCGTCCAGGGCTGCAGGGAAGACAAAACATATGATAATAATACATAGCCAGCATTTACTGAGTACATAGTAAGCCGTCAAGAAATGGTAGCCAAACAAAACAAACCAAACGGGAGGAGGGGAGCTTATGTGAGAGGCAGTATTATTGAATTTTTTGCAGATGAAGGAAAGGGCTGAGGTCATGGAGCTAAGAGGCGGAAGAGACGTGGTGCCAATCTGGGTCTGTGTGCTGCCAAAACTCATGCTCCTTCCGCTCCGTCTCTCTGTCTTTAGAGCAGGTGCCTGTGGGTCTGGAGCCCATGCATGACCTTGCAGAGCTCTGTGCCCTGCCCAGGCTCACATGTTAGTTTCCTTGGGGCATGGTGGTAGCCCTCTGGAGAGCGTCCTCTGGCCTCAGAGAGCCTCAATGAGCTGCAGTAGCCACCGAGGAACCCTCTGGGCCTGGGGTTGCCATACAACTGCTCTGCCTTCCAGAAAGCTCTATTTTTTTTTTTCCCCTCTGTGAACTAGATTGGATGCAGAGACTTGGAAACTGCCCTTTTCTCAAGCAGGTGTCCAAGGAAGAATCTGATTTATTTTATTATTTTAACAGCTTTATTGAGATGAGTTTCATATACTGTGCAAATCACCCATGTAAGTGTGCAATTCAATGGCTTTTAGTAATAGTCACAGAGTGGTACAACAACATAATCAATTTTAGAACATTTTCATCACTGTCCAGACACCCTTCACGCCTTGGCCATAATATTACACCCTCCCCCCATCCTCAGCCCCAGGCAGCCACGAATCTCCTTTCTGTCTCTATAGCTCTGCCTATTCTAGATGTTTCATATAATCAGAATCACATGTTATGTGGTCCTTTGTGTCTGGCTTCTTTCACTTAACATGTTTAAAGGTTCATCCATGTTGTGGTGTATATTTTTATTGCCAAATACTATTCCTTGTATGACTATTGTGTTTGGTAAGCTCTTGCGTTGCTTTCATTTTCTGGTTGTTCTGAATAATATTTTTTAACATTTGTGTGCATGTGTTGTGTGGACATAGATTTTCATTTCTGTTGGGCATATAATGAGGAGTGGAATTGCTGGGTCATAGGTTAACTTCATGTTTAACCTTCTGAGAAACTGCCGGGCTCTTTTCAAGAATCGCACCACTTTTCACTCCCACCAGCAGTGTGTGAGGGTTCTGACTTCTCCACAGCCTCCCCACACCTGACTTTTTCTTGTTGTTGTTGTTAATCTTCACCCGAGGGTATTTTTCCATTGATTTTTAGAGAGAGTGGAAGGGAAGGGGGGAGACACACACAGAGAGAAACATCAATGTGAGAGAGACACACTGATTGGTTGCCACACTTATGCCCCCTCACCCCACCTGATCAGGGCTGGGGATTGAGCCTACAACCGAGCTACATGCCCTTGACCGGAATCGAACCCATGACCCTTCGGTCTGCAGGCGGATGCTCTATCTACTGAGCCAAATGGGCTAGGGCAACACCTGACTTTTTCATTCTGGCCATCAAAAAGGGTATGATGTAGTGTGTCTTCAGTTTTCCTTTCATTTGCGTGTTGGTCTTTGTATATCTTCTTTGGAGAAGTGCGTACTCTGACCCTTTTCTGATGCGTCTTTCTATTATTGAATTGTGAGTGGTCTTTATATATTCTTGATATAACCCCTTATCCTGGTTTGTTTATAAAGATTTTTTTTTTTTGCTATTGAGTTTTTAAAAAATATATATATTTTTATTGATTTCAGAGAGGAAGGGAGAGAGATAGAAACATCAATGATGAGAGAGAATAACTGATTGGCTGCC